CCAATTTTGAATCACTCTCTAATGTCAAAAATGAACCAAAAAGAATCATCTTTCTTCAAGCGCATCCTCAACCTGTTATATTAGCTCGCATATGGTAAGCCTTCGCTGCCAAGCAACGTCCCATAAGGAATGACGTTGATTGATTTGCCGTTTCTATTTATGGAAAGTCCAAATCAGCGGCTGAATCTTCTCCATAAGGAAAGTGCATCCGAAGGACATCTATTTATACCTGCATAAATAATACACACATTAATTAATTTCAATTGACTAATATCTAAGAATTTAATCTAAGGAATTTAAAGTAAACTTCCCTTAGTTATTCCTGAGAAGTCTATTCACGGAGACAGATGAAGGTTCATCGATTTACTGTTAATCTTCAAGTACTTACAATCTCTCCCTTTGGCAGATAAATCGAAAACCCAGGTTCAAGGAGTCCTGCAGCACACTTACTTCACAATAACATGAATATGCATATAATCACATACAAAACATCTCAAATTGTTTTAGGTGAACAAAAGATAATTAAATATCCAGCCAGAGAGTCTAAGCAGAAACTTCACCATCTTCAGTTTCATCATCCCTCGAACCATCATCGGACCCAGCTTCAGTGTCTTCCTCCGAACCAGCCTCCTCTTCTTCTTCATCAGACTCAGCTACCCCATCTTCTGCCGCATTAGAACCGTCAGACTCAACAACCTTTTCTTTACCCTTGGCAGCAGCAGCAACAATCACCTTTCCCTTGGCCTTTTAACCTTTGGATCCTCCTTTTGATTTCTCCCCCTTAGTATCAGCATTCTTCTTCTCCCTCTTGTTCGATTTAGGTGGCAAAGGAGCACGTACCTTGAGCACACCAATGATTTCCTTGTAGTAGCGGCGCCGATCACTCAGCAGCTTTTCAAGAGAGGCCAGATCTGCTACTTGTAGGGTGAGAAAGGCACTAAGTCAAGAAGAAACTTCAGAGGCTTTGACTAAGGCAGGTAGATGAGAGGTGGACTTAGCAGTAGCAAGATCAAGTGGTTTAATGGACGGAGAAAGTACATCACCAACCCTGAGGTCCATCTTGACCCCAGCCTTGACAAGAATGATATATATGGTAGAGGGAAATGGATGCAGCTTATGGGGTTTGGAAATATCAGCAAAGGACACGGCGTTCTTGAAAATCACAGACCCTAAATCAAACGGAACACTGCTAAGGATACAAAAAATGACCCTTGCTTGAGTAGGCATCACAAATTCCTTGTGCGAAGTGGGTGTCTAATTCAAAGACCCAATCTTCTGTAATGCATCGGCCTGAGGGGTGAGACTTTTGATAAACAACCCAGGTGAGACCATTTGTTGAGTTGTCCCCCGGTAAGAGCAAAGGCCACTTCATCGAGATTGTAATTCAGAGGCAGCAAGGATGAACTTTCGCCGAGACCCAACACAGAATTGATAACTATTGGTGAAAACATTACCACGGTGTTATGAACAAACACCTGCTTAAAACTTCACGGAACTGGGATTTGACATAGACGATGGGAGGTTCGAATAAAACTCCGCAACCAATCTCGAGCAGAACTTACCAACAGTCATCACAGATTTATCTAGAACAAACTTTTTCAGAAGGTCCACAAGACCAAGTTTTTCAAAGTGAGAAGCAACGATAGATCGTTTAGAGCGAAAAGTCATTTGAGAAAATATATCATTGTAACGAGACTCAGACATGGGTGAATAATTTTGGCGAGATAAAGCATTACCAACAAAAAGAGGGCTATCATCGCCATCACCTTCGGCATCTTCACTGCCCTTGTTGTCGACAACAGGTGATGCTTCTTTGTCATCAACCACACGATTGTCGGACTTTTCTGGTTCACCAGCAAAAGTATCAATTTTCTTTTCCGTAGAATCAGCAACATCATCGGAATCAGGTGATGATTCTCCACCATATTTGGGAAGTAGATTCAGCAGCCACAGTAGGTTCAGTAATGGTGATATTCTTTTTGGACTTCTTCGCCTTTGCGACAACACTTTCTTTGAGCTTATTTCTCTCTTTGGGAGATTTAGAAATTGAGGGTGAACTTGTTCCAACCGTTTTTTTTTCTCCAGCAACTTTGGAGGCGGCCACTTTTGTTGTGGAGGATTTCTTTGGACTTGATGAAACCCTAGTTTCCACGGTTTGAGGAGGTTGCTCGTTTTCCACCGTCATGTTGGAAGTTGTTGCGTTAGGGGGTGTTTCGGTACTCCCGCTTTGACGAGTCGACCTTCAAGAGGGCTCAGGAACATTCTTCTTAGTTTTCACACATTTCTGTTGTAATCTCGACATGATATGAAGATTTGCGATAGAACTCACAGTAAGAACAAGTAGAAAGTTAGAGAAATTCAGGATTTCAAAAGGAATTATGAATCGTATCAGATATGGGGAAGTGTGATGGAATATGATAGGTATAGGGAAGATAAATCACGCTAACTGAGGCCTGAGTAACTGATAAGCACGTCGGTTCAATATTTAATTTTGAATTTCAAACTTGTACAACACTCAATGCAACAAAAATAAAATTGTTCCCTCCAAAACAATTCACTTTCCAAACTAGGACACGACATATCATTTATATATGGTATGAAGTTTCGGATATCCCAAAAGGCAACATTTAGTACCAAAAGTTATTCACAAGACTTAGGTAGAAATCAATCACTAAAGGAAATACAAATGCACATTCCTAAAGTAATTTACGAACACACCATAACCAAAATATTCCCTATCGTGCAATAACGAGAGAATTTTAATCGAATATTTTACAAGTCTTTCCAAACAATTCTTCATGAGCTCGACACTAATTAAATGGTGATGAATTCGCCAAAGACAACTCAGCCCTTATATCTCCAACCTTCGCAAAACACGGAATAAATATAAGTTCATTCATCATTTTCTCTTGGCAAAAAAAAAAAATTCATTCGCAATTCAACCCAAATACTTATGATGAACTTACTCCATTCTATGAACTTCCACACATTTTAACTTACTAACACTGACTATACGCCAATGTCAAGCCCATTACTTGCAGTGTGAATCATCTCGCAAAAAGTTTCTTTTTAACAAATGCTGAGAAAGAGAACAAGATGGCCAATTTATTTCACCAGTGAACTTCCATCAACTAAGTAATGACTACTAGTAGCTATCGCACCTCAATTATTATTAAGCACGTAACTCGTTTCACAGGTGATCTTGATAAAACACCTCATGTGATAGTTGTCCGATACTTATTTTTATGAGAGCATCTCTTACAAGTAGTGTTATATGGTCATCATGACGAGCTCAATCAAATAGTCCAGTCAGAATATATAAAACATCAAGTAATGATTTCACCCGTCAAATTATTCAAGGGAAGACATTGGGATGAACCTACACACTTAAATGGCTAATGCAATGCATCTACTAGATGGAAATATATATATATATATATATATATATATAGAAATACATAATTGATGCAGCATGCATAGTTATGATACAGTACACATTCCTAGAGATTTCCTTAGTGAGATAATACGATTTGAATCAAGTATGTTTGTAAAAATATCAGCAAGCTGATCATCTGTAGGTACATGATCCAACACAGTTGTTCCATCCTCCACCAAATCTGAATAAAATGGTAGCGTATGTCAATATGCTTGGTTCGTGAATGTTGGACAAGATTTTTGAAATTTTTATTGCATTGGTGTTGTCACAAAAAAGTTGAGCCGAATGTGCCTTTATACTGTACTCAGAGAGAATTTGTTTCACCCAGAAAAGTTGTTAAAAACAGCTCCCCGCAGCAATGTACTCAGCTTCAGCAGCTGAGAGTGAGATGCAATTTTGTTTCTTACAGAACCAAGATATAAGATTGGACCCGATGTAGAAACATCCACCGGAGGTGCTTTTCCTATCATCAAGATTTCCAGCCCAATCTGCGTCGCAAAAACCTGCAAGATTCAGGTTCGTGTCAGCGGAGTAAAATAACCCATAGTCCGATGTACCTCCAACGTATTTGATGATGTGCATAACCGCCTTCAAATGGATTCCTTGGGGGCTGACTGGAACCTGGCATAAAGACCAACACTAAAGCAAATGTCATGTCTACTTGCAGTAGCATAAATTAGACTACCAATCATACTTCTGTAAAGTGTTTGATCAACAGATGTACCTTCATCGTACTTAGACACCTTCACATGAGTACCCATAGGAGTTTGAGAGTTTTTAGCATTTTCAAGACCAAACTTGTGAGCAAGTTTTCTAGCATATTTACTTTGATGCAATCCAAATTGAGGACGGGTTTTTGGGGTTAGCTCACCCTCGCGGCATCACGACCCTTTGTCCCGTCCATTGTAGCACGTGTGTCGCCTAGGGTCAGAAGGGGCATGATGGCTTGGTGTCATCCTCACATTCCTCCGACTTATCACCGACAATTTGTTCAGGGTTCTAAATTCAACAATGAAAACTAAACACGAGGGTTGCGCTCGTTGCGGGACTTGACCTAACACCTTACGGCACGAGCTGACGACAACCATGCACTACCTGTATCCCATGCGCACGAAAGCATTCCTCCCTTTCAAGAGGATTCGCAGGCATGTCATGCCCTGGTAAGGTTCTTTGCTCTGCATCGAATTAAACCACATGCTCCACCGCTTGTGCGGGCCTCCGTCAATTCCTTTGAGTTTCATTCTTGTGAACGTACTCAGGCGGGATACTTAACGTGTTAGCTACAGCACTAGAGGGGTCGATATGCACAACACCTAGTATCCATCGTTTACAACTAGGACTACTGGGGTATCTACTCCCATTCGCTCCCCTAGCTTTTGTCTCTTAGTGTCAGTGCCGGCCCAGCAGAGTGCTTTCGCTCTTGGTGTTCTTTCCGATCTCTACGCATTTCACCGCTCCACCCAAAATTCCCTCTGCCCCTTCCCTACTCCAGCTTGGTAGTTTCCACCGCCTGTCCAGGGTTGAGCCCTGGGATTTGACGGCGGACTTAAAAATCCACCTACAGATGCTTTACACCCAATCATTCCGAATAACGCTTACATCCTCTGCCTTACCGTGGCCGTTGGCACAGCGTAAACCGATGTTTATTCCCCAGATACCGTCATTGCTTCTTCTCTGGGAAATGAAGTTCACGACCTGTGGGCCTTCTACCTCCACGCGGCATTGCTCCGTCAGGCTTTCGCCAGTGCGGAAAATTCCCCACTACTGCCTCCCGTAGGAGTCTGGGCAGTGTCTCAGTACCAGTGTGGCTGATCATCCTCTCAGACCAGCTACTGATCATGGCCTACCCAAACTTGTTGGGCACACTCGATTCTCTGTGAGACTCGGATCTGCCTAAGCAGAGGATTGGGACATTATATTTGTTTTTGTCATCCACTGGTGTTCTCGAACACTACTATAAGTGATAACTCGATACCCTCTACTCGTATTCAAGTACCTGTCCAGGGTCGGTGTAGCTAAGCATACCTACCATGATAAACCAAGCAAGTAAGCTCGCTCGAGGTATATGTTTTCCTTTTTTTAATAGAAACAAGAGAGGGAAGACACTTCGGACATTCAGCTACCCTTTAGGGTCAACATCTGCAGTGGGTGAGTTCGCATTACCTTATACTCTAGGCGACCTTGTCGGAAAGCTTGGAGCGAAGGGATCCCTGTGTAGGGAGCCCGAACGGAGCCTAAGCCTAATCAAGGAATGAGATGCCATCCATTCGACCTACAAGCAAGAATAGAATAAGGGCTTGTTCTGCTTTACAGCTGTAAGCCATGACTCCTACGGCTGTAAGCCACGGATATAAGTATAAGCTAGCGGCTGGAAGCCAAGAGATAAGAAGAGAAGAGCCCTTTTAAAGGGAGAAAGATGAACAAATAACCCCTTTTCGAAAAGGGGGCAAGAAGAAGCTCTGAAAGAGTGACTGATCCGTCTAGTGTACTTTCCTATTTGAGGTTAAGGAAGAGACGTCAAAAGGGCTTTTGGCTCGAAAAAAAAACAAGCTGATTTGCAAATTAAAACTCCACGTAACGACTGGTTTAGCCCAAAGACACAAGAAAAGCACTTCGACTTGTTGATTCATCGTCAGAAATGGCTTAGAGCCAGTCGTTCAGTATGTAATGAATCTTTCCATTCTTATATTCTATTCAAGAGTTATCAGTATTTATCAACTCTGTTCCTATCTAACGAAAGGCTATTTGATCCAATGACAAAGACATTGCTAAGAAAAAGATGGATTTTCCTGGATGAAATGCAAATTCGTATAACAGGAGAAAAATTTCCCATTTTGTAGCCGAAAAGATATGTGGCTATGAAATAGGGATTAAGTGGAACAGAATTGGCTGGGTGGTAGAGTGGTGGAAACGCTTCTTTTTTCTATAATTTGGACCCTAGATCCATCGAACAATAGTGTTACTGCTGAAACATGGAAAAATGGAAATCTTAGATCAAAACACGATGTATGGATGGTATGAACTGTCCAAAGAAGAATTCTTGAACAGCGAACAACCATTTCAGATATTCGCAACCAAGAAGTACTGGATTCTCTTTCGAATATGCCTTGACAGGAGAAGGAAGGATGGAATGCCAACAAGCGTCTATTATTGAATTGACCCGATAGTACCCATTTTGGGAACGTCCAATGCCAAAGTGACTGAATCGGTAAGTCGCCAATCCCCGGTCGATGTAATGTACTTTATCAAAAAACAAGTAGAATCAAGCAACGCATGCTGCTGGTGTGTATCGTTGTTCGAGGCTTTAAATGAGAGTTTTACTGCGAATTTGAGATGGTCCTATTCTGGTGTTACAATCAACACCCTCGCTTCTGCCCATCCAATAGCTGAGGAGCCGTCAACATAGACGTTACATTACCCGACCTCTTCCTTCTTGCCAAACAGGTATCCCACAAACACACAACGACAACTCCGTGTAGTAAACTTGTCACCATTGCGGTTGGACAAAAAATAGGAACAGTGAATCCTTGTAGGAGACGGGTTTACCGGTGCAGTTCATATGCACCATACCTTTTTGTGCAACCCTAGTTTTGACTTCTACACACACCGCCTTGGTTTTCACTTTGGCGTGGGCTCTAACAAGATCTGGTTTTTCTACTCGCGTGATTACACTTGTCGGGTCATCCGTGACACGATACAGGTGCTACACGTCGAGCTTTCTGCTGCTCATCTCCCTGAGCACATCTTCCACATCCTGGTTTACACCAGTTGTGCGAGGGTTGGGTGCTATGGTCTTTGGGACACCATGTGTGAGATTGCTGAAAGTATGGAGGGCGTGGATGGTAAGCGGTGATTTCAACATCTTTAGGCATCCCGGTGAGTGTATTGGTGGCCGTTCGGACCATTTTGCAGAGATCAGGGACTTCTCTCAGGCGGTAGCGGACTGTGAGTTAATTGATGCTGGTTTTGAAGGCTCTCCCTTCACTTGGGAGCGTGGTGGTGTCAAGGAGAGACTCGGCCGTGCTTTAGTCTCTGAGGCAGGGGCGAGGGTTTTTTTGGGCCGTCCAACACCTTCCTCGAATTGAGTCGGACCATTCTCCTCTCCTCATCCGGTGTTGATTTTCGAACACCCCCCGTCGCTCCTCTTTTAGATTCCAAAACATGTGGATTTGACACCACCCTTTCCATGACACTGTCAGGGTCTCCTGGCTGCAGCTGACTGGGATCTTCGGGATGCACAACCTGGAGGCCAAGCTTAAAAGACTGCGGCACGGGCTGAAGCAGTGGAATTGGGATGTTTTTGGAGACCTCTTTGCAGCTCAGAATGCATATGCTGACGCCAAGCGTGCTTACGATTTGGATGTTTACCACAATTGTGATATTTGAATTTCAACTATCAATTGTTTTGAATGAACAGTATATATTGTGTTTATAGTCAGTATATGATAAACAAATTAAGCACGAGCCAGATGAGAAACACACAAAGCACGAGTAACAAAAACATAGACTGAACATATATTGTCTATATACGCAACATATACTGCAAAAAAAAAAAAAAAATCTCTCTCCATTTTATTCATCGTCCCTGTAAGCACGCTGATGCAGCAACGTGGTAGACGAAAGGAATATAAGAGAAAACTCAAGAGTTCTTAATTTTATTCAATGTTCATCGATCAAACTTCATAAGAGAGGGACAATATATAGAGTCCTATGAAAGAGAATCCTAATTCTAATTATCTTGTGCAACAAGATAATTATCTTATTTATTCCTAAATAATAAAACACTCCTAAGAAAATAAAATATCTCTTACTAAATAATAGGAAATATAATATGTAGAATAATCTAGATGCGTAGACGGTCGAATTTGTCGAGAAAGGCTAGGGCGGTCTCGTCTTCATCATCCTCCCCCGGTTGGGAAGGATCGGCCTCGAATCCGAATGGGTCTCGTCTTCCTCCGAGTTGTCCCCCGCAAAGGGAACCAGATGCTTGACGTTAAAAACGTCATGTGTGCGAATATGGGAAGGAAGCCGCAAACGATAAGCATTTGGATTAATCTTCTCAATCACCTCGACCGGTCCTATCTTCCTTGCCGACAACTTGCTGTACTCATGGCTCGTGAATCGGTCCTTAGTCAATACCGCCCAAACATAGTCGCCCACGTCAAATTCCACGTGGCGCCGTCGCAAGTCCGCCCGCCGCTTATATGCGGCCGTCGATGACTCAAGATGGTCCCGGGCCCGCGCATGCGTGGCCTGTAAATCGGAAATGAGCTCGGCGGCGCGCCTATCGTCGTCCCCATGCTGAGGCAAAGAGATCAAATCAGAAGGCCCACGGGGACTGACAGCATACACCACCTGAAAAGGAGAAAAACCCGTAGAACGATTGACGGCAGAGTTGTGAGCAAACTCAGCCTGTGCTAACCGCTGATCCCATGTGCGTACATTGTCTCCCACTAAGCAACGCAGCAGATTACCCAATGAACGGTTAACCACCTCCGTCTGGCCGTCAGTCTGCGGGTGATATGCGCTGCTGAAATCGAGCCGGGTATTGGCCATACGCCACAAGCTTCTCCAGAAATGGCTCAAAAAACGCGTATCACGATCGGACACAATCGAAGAAGGCAACCCATGCAAGCGATAAACCTCACGGAAGAAGAGGAGAGCCACGTGAACAGCATCCGAAGTCCGCTTGCACGGAATGAAATGGACCATCTTCGAGAAGCGATCCACTACGACAAAAATAGAATCCACCTGACGCTGTGTGCGTGGTAACCCCAAGACGAAATCCATGCTGATAGAATGCCAAGGGCGGGACGGGATCGGAAGCGGTCTATATAACCCAGCATTATTCGCCACACCCTTGGACACCTGGCACACCCGACAACGAGCCACATAACGAGAGACATCACGGCGAAGACTAGGCCAAAAATACGAGCGGCTCACCAGCTCGACCGAACGATCCCGGCCCACATGGCCCGCGCCATGGAGGTCGCCAATGAGCTTCAGCCGAAGGCTGACATCAGGAATGCACAAACGAACTCCACGAAAAAGGAACCCATCTGACAAAGTGTAGTCCGGAATGGGACCGTCGCGCAAGGAACGAAGAATCGGGCCAAAAAATGGATCATCGGCATAAGCCTCGCGCAATACATCAAAGCCCACCACCGAGACACGCATGTCCGTCAGAAGAAGGGCCCGACGACTCAATGCATCAGCAACCCGATTAGATGACCCAGAACGATGACGGAGCACAAAAGTGAACTGCTGCAAGAAGGCAGCCCACGAGGCATGGCGGGAAGAGATATGATCCTGCGAAGCAAGGTGACGCAATGCCTCATGGTCGGAGTAAAGCACGAACTCACGATGGAACAAATAGTGGCGCCAATGTCGAACCGCACGTACGATCGCATAAAACTCCACATCGTAGGTGCTGTAACGACTACGAGGTCCCGAAAGCTTCTCACTGAAAAAGGAAACCGGGCGACCATCCTGACTGAGAACAGCCCCAATCCCGACCTTCGAAGCGTCACAAGACAACTCAAAAGGCCGACCAAAATCCGGGAGAACCAAAACGGGCGCAGACGTGAGCTTCTCCTTAATCACGTCAAAAGCCGTCGCGGCCGCCGGGGTCCATGTAAACACCTTCCCCGTAAGGCAATCCGTGATTGGCGCGACGATGGAGCTGAAGTGAGAGATGAACCGACGATAAAACGACGCCAGTCCATGAAAGCTACGCGCCTCCGTGAACGTCGTCGGTGTAGGCCACTCACGAATCGCCGAGACCTTCGACTCATCGACCCGAATACCATCGCCCGAGATGAAGAACCCCAAAAAAAGCACCGACTCCACCAAGAAGGAGCACTTCTTCGGCGCAGCAAAGAAGGACTCAGCCCGAAGAATACATAAAACAGCCCGAACATGCTCCAAGTGCTCCTCCAGTGTCCGACTATAAATGAGAATATCGTCGAAATAAACGACGACGCATGTGCCAATGAGATCACGAAGGGCCTGGTTCATCACGCGCATGAAAGTACTGGGCGCGTTAGAAAGGCCGAAGGGCATCACCAGCCACTCAAAAAGACCCTCACGGATTTTGAAGGCCGTCTTCCACTCGTCGCCGGGACGGATACGAATCTGATGATACCCGCTACGAAGATCGAGCTTCGTGAAAATAGTAGCCCCATGAAGCTGGTCCAGCAAATCATCTAAGCGAGGAATCGGGAAACGATAACGTACCGTAATTTTATTAATAGCCCGACTGTCCACACACATACGCCAAGCCCCCTCCTTCTTGGGGATCAATAAAGCTGGAACTGCACAAGGACTCATGCTCCTGCGTACGACTCCACGTTGAAGGAGCTCCTCTACCTGTCGACGCAACTCCTCATGTTCCATTGGACTCATCCGGTAGTGTGGTCGGTTGGGCAACGACGCGCCCGGTACCAGATCGATATGGTGCTGGATATCCCGAAGCGGGGGCAGCCCAACTGGCAGCTCATCCGGGAACACATCAGCAAACTCCTCCAATAAAGGTCGAACGGCGTGAGGCGGCTCACGGTCCTGTAGCACATCCGTGGCTAACAACAATAGGATCGTGGGCTCGGACCGCATCTCTGCCTCGAACGCCGAGCGGGAAAGAAAAAGCACCGGTGAAGAAGACGGGCCAATCGAAGGGCTCGCCGCCGGACGCGCCGGTCCCGGATGTAAGACTATACGAACCCCGCCAAACATGAAGCTATAGGTATTAAGACGACCGTCATGCGTGGCAGCCCGATCGTACTGCCAAGGTCGACCCAAAAGCAAGTGACATGCGTCCATCGGGACCACGTCACACCAAATCTCATCCCGATACTTAGGTCCAATCGAGAAAGACACCAAAGCACGCCTATCAACAGTGACTGCGTTATTCTTCTGAATCCAAGCAAGAGAATAGGGACTAGGGTGAGCAACACTCGGTAAGTGAAGTTTATCCACGGCCACCTGGGAAATCACGTTCTCGCATGAGCCGGAATCAATGATGAAACGGCACACACGATCACCAACCGTACACGTGGACTCAAAAATCTGATGCCGACCCGCAACCTCCTCATCGAGCACCTTAGGGGCCAAACATGAACGCCGAATAACGAGACTATGACCCACATCCCCCGTAAG